TAGGTGCTTTAGACCACTGAGCCATCTCACCAGCCCTCCTCTTATATTTTTTAATTAAAAAAAAAAGTTTATGTATTTGGTACAGGGTCTCACTATGCAGCTCAGACTCGTAGTGATCCTCCTGTCTCAGCCTCCCCAGCACTGGCATTATAGGTGTGCACCACTACACCTGGTTTCGGCAGCTGGCAAGGCAAGGCACGGCACATGGCACAGCACAGCATGTGGTAGTGGGAATTGAACTTGGGTCCTTGAACTTGCCAGGCAGGCACTTAGACCACTGAGCTATCTCCCCGGCCCCAGGAAGGCTCTTCTTGACTGGAGGTGTACAAGGGGTCCCATGTCCAAGGCCTCTCCTTGCCATGCCTCCGCCAGAGCCTCCTAATGGTACAGTAATGTTTTGTTCCTTCTCACCCTCCTCCATTTCTCTCTTAACTGCTTATTTCCTCCTTGCCAGGACCTATCTTTCCTTCAAGACCCAGCCCTCCACTTCATGGGGTTTCCCCTTTCCATCTCCCAAATGGATTGTGAATTCCTCTTCTCTTCCAACTGCCTGTAGAAAATGGTATGCGTGAGTGTTGTGTCTTCTCTGGGACATAAATTCCTTATGGGAAGGATGGTCTTCTGAAGTGTCACAGCCCAGTCTCACACTTAGTACATACTCATGAATTCACTGAGCAATAAACAGGAAGCTTGGGATTTGGAGGGGCACGCTAGTTACCTGAGCCAAGCAAGGAGTATTTCAATCACTTATAGTTTGGTGAGGCCTCACAGCTGAGGCCTCCCGCCTCCCCTAACTGCTCCTTAAGGGATGCTGGTCGTTTTTCAAAGACAGTAGAGGGAAGAGAAGTTGACAGCATCCTATTTGGCATCTATGTCAAACAGGGTAAGACTTACAAAGGCTCCCTTTTGGAACTTTCTCAACACCAAAAAATGTTATTTTTCCCACAGAAGCCCATCGATGTGAGTGCAGCTCTCCAGGATGGGTGTGCCCACACAAAGGTACACTCTGCCAGTCTTTGGGGGGTTTGTCTATGTGTGAGTCTGCTTGCTCATCTTGGAGGAAGGAAAAATCCTTCTTCTCTGTCTTGGAGATGGTCTCTGTGGTTGAGCCAACCCACTGTCCAAAGGCGCCATAAAAATGTTTCTCCCTGGGCTCTGGGAGCTTGGAATGAGGTGAGTGGGTTCTCTTTGGACTCTGATGGGACTTCTCTAGAAAAGTCAGTGTAAGCAGCTCTAACTGAGGTAGAGAAATTAGGTGACATGCTGGCAGAGCCTTGGTGAAGGTGCAGCTTCGGATAGGAAGCCGTCATTCCTTAAAATTATTTTCCCTGTGTAATGTCCTTCCATCTATCTTACTGGGGAAAGAGCAGCTTGGGGTGTGAATCACACCACAGCTGCTCAGCAAACATACAGTTTGTTGATGGGATACTCTACCTTAAAATGAATGATGTGGCCCTTGGAGACAATGCCCATGTCTTTCAAATCTTCTTCATCCAGAAGCAGCAGCCGCTTGCCCGTGATATTGTTGTCCTTAAACAGGCTTGCGTAGCCACTCATCTCCACGGAGGAGTCACCTGCTGGGGTGAGGAGAAGCAGAGGGAAGTGAGGCTCCACCACGCCCCCAACAAAGTTGACTCCACACGCAAGAACATAACTGATGCCACTTGCCTTTTCTGACGAGCTGCTGAACCCAAAAATACTGTGAAGAGAGGACATACATGGATTGGAGGACTGACACACAGTGGTCATTCTTCATAGTAAAACAGCTGTCAGTATGTTACATGTCTCTAATTCCTGGCTCAGGCACAAAGGGAAGTCAAACAGTTTCTGTTTATAGTTCATTTATTTTTTTGGGGGGGTGTGTGGAAGCGGAGAATGAACTCAGGCCCTTGCATTTGGCAGGCAAGCACTTATTCTATTGAGCCATCTCCCCTGCCCTGTTTATAGTTTTAAAACTCAAGCTTTCAAATTGGAGCTTTTGGGGCCGGGGAGAGGGCTCAGTGGAATAAGCGCTTCCCTGGCAAGCACAAGGCCCTGAATTCAATGCCCAGTTCCGGGGGGGGGGGGGGGAAGACTACAAATTGGAGCTCTTGCTTTCTTTGGAGTCTGTGGGCAGTTGAAGGGTTTCCCTAGGGGAAATTTTAAAATCTTTTCACAAGGGTTCTTATAGTAATCTTCCCCCCTAAGGGCCAGTGGCTCCTGGATTACTCAGGGGCAGTGGCTGCAGGAACCACAGGGACTATAGAGCAGTGGACAGATGAACTTCCCTGTTCCAGGACTGTGGAACACATTGGGCATGATGCAGCCACATAGCCTGGACAGGTCCAAGCATGAGGCTGCCTGTGTAGTTGGACCAAGTGACCATCAGTCGTTGGATTTCACTTGGTTTCTGCTCACAGTGGCCTCCATGCTGGGTGAAGCTGTGTAGACAGAAGGCTGGGCTCAGGCCCTCCCTCTGGAGAACCCATGACCCTGGAATTTTATTTAAATGCCTTGGAAGCCACTCTACCTCACAGCAAATACTAAAAGTAACTGTTATAACCTAGTGATTTTAAGATAATTTCTTTTCAAAGGAGAGTTGGCTTTTTGGCAGGGGATAAAGGGATTGTGCTCAGGCCTGGGAATAAAGGAGAACTTAAGTTCTCTTTCCATGGTAGACAGGGCTGGCAGGAAAGTTGGGATTACCAGGGATCAGTGAATGGGCAGAAACAGGCAACTGGTGCCAGGTTTCTCACACTGCAGAAGCCAAAGAGGTTTTCCACCATGAGAGTACAAAGGGCAGAGAGGGGAATGCCCTGGCTCTCAGACCCAGTTGTGTTAAATAAGCCAACCTTCAGAAGAGTTCCTAGCAGAGAGTCTTTTCCCTGGGGTGGGGCCCATCCTGTTCAGCTAGTGTTCCTTCTTGATTTTCTTCATTTACTGATACACTTGAGCTTATAAATTGGACCTGGACAGGTATAAGTCCCTGTGGTCTCTGATCAGGAATTCTCATGCCTGTTTTTATCACTTAGGAAACAGACATGGAGATGTAACAGGCTAAGGAAAAGCATTGTTCTTCAAGGTAGAATACTGTTTTACCCAGAGTATGGAGTGTAAGACTTTTTTTTGTGTGTGTGCAGGGTCTCACTACGCAGCTCAGACTCCTAATGATCCTATTTTCTGCCTCCCTAGTGCTCCTAAGACTTTTTTGAACTCAATTATCTACCCACATCTTCCTAGCCAAATGGAACTCCTCTGGCTACGGCAGGATGTCTGGGAGCGGTGTGTCTACTCCTCCTGCCAGAGGCTTAGGGCTGGCCAACGTGGTGCCATCATGCCGTGAGCAGGCCTAAGCAGGAATCACGTACTACGTAGGCAACCCAGCCCAGTACTGCCTCTAGCAGATTCATCTTTACCATGGCTCAGTCTATGCAAGGGTTTTAGGAAAATTTAAATCAATTTATTTATTTATTTATTTATTTATTTATTTATTTATTTGGAGAACCGGGGATTGAACTTAGGCCCTTATGCTTGCCAGGCAAGCACTTATTCTACTGAGCCATCTCCCCAGTCCAAGATCAATTTATTTTTCAAGGTTTTTCATGCTTTCCTAGGTCATTTGGTTTGGTTTTGTGATTGCTATTTTTTACGTCTTCTGGAGTATTTTTAGAATCAACAGGAAGGTGGGATCCTTTTACAAGTTTACATACCTGCATTTCTCTTGAGTTTGCAATTGTTATTGAAACCAGAAAATAATGAAATTTGTCAACTTCGGCTAGTTAGACCTCCCTATGACCCAAATCCTCCTGGCTGCACTTTAAGCCTGTACACAAATGTCTGAAATACCTGCCCGGGCCCAGTGAGGCATCAACAGAAGCAGCTTACCACGTCGTCTTCAGTCCATGCACTAATCTCAAAGGAAGGCAGCAGCTGCGTGGGAGATATGAATGAAATGAAAACCAGAGCAATATTATCCTTGTCTTTTTGGCTTGTCCTCTGGGGTCCCTCAGCTCCCAAGCGCTTCTCTGGCTTGGTTCCTCTTGCAGGTTGGAAGAATGGGAGAGAACTTCCCTGACTCTAAGAAGTTCTCAAGTGCTCCAAAGGTTCTGACGCCAGAGGCCAACAACACACACCTATTGTACTTTGTGAGCTGCTCCAGGCAGGACTTTGCACAACTTGGTATTTTCTTCTCTCGGTCTTTGGCACACCAGGAGTGGTCTTACATCCCATAACAGGGCTGTGACAATCGGGATTTCTGACATTATCCAGGTACCACAGCTTTCTTCAGAATTCTCAGCCCATAGTATCAGGTTCTTTTATCAATGAAAAGTCCAAACCAACCCCTTGGTAAGTGGACAATTATTATACTTCTTTTCACAGGGGGATTTCTAAGTGTTTAAATGTCTCAGTGGCAGGATATTTGTAAAAGCAAGCTTGGGAATCCATGGAGGAAGGACAACACATGGACCTGGAATTGTCCTAAGAAACCCAGGTGTAGTCACCTAACACAGCTTGACATGCCTCCCTGCCTGGGGCGCCAGCAGGAATAGAGCCCTGGCAGAGCACTCAGCCCGCACCACCTGTACAACCAAAGAGCGCCTCACTTCACTGGGCGCCCCATGGCCACAGGCTCAATGACATGTGTTTATAATCCTTGAAAAAGACTGTTTTAGGACTAAAATTGGAGTTTGGTAAAGTCATCAGCTTTGACCAACTTCTTAGGGTGCTAACATGTTGGGGCACTTATAGCATGTTAAAGTATTAGCTAATCTCTGTTACCAATCATGGTTTTTGGTAGGTGTCTTGAAAAAGGTGAATTTGGTTGCTTTTACTATTAATGTAACGATCAGAGAGTTTGTCTGATCTGTAAGTATTTTATAGTCACATATTCAAAACCCTGCTAGAAGTACAGCACCTGCAGGGAGCTTTGAATAGAACTGAGGGAGAAACAGGCGTGGATCACACACGGGGAGCACAAAACAGCCCTCATTGTCATTTACGCAGTATCTAGCATATACAACCTGCTATATTTTTATTGAATCATTTTACAGAATGAAATAGTTGAAGGATGCACACACAGACATGCTAACTTCTCTGGCCAAGTTCACTGGGCATTGGGATACAAAGCCAGATGTAATCACAAAGCATACCAGAACAGGATGGACATGTGGGAGGTGCAGGGGCTTGAGCTTGGTACTGCAGGGCTAGGAGGAGAGGGGTGATGCCAGGCGAAGGGAAGGAACAAGGCAAAGCACTGGCAATGGGAGAAGGAAGGAGAGGGAGCAGATGGATGTGGCGCATTCGCCTCATGGGAGCCAGGACACAGTGAGCTCACATTGCAGGAAGACGGGGTAATGAAGCAGACTCAGGGATGGAGTTCTCCCTAGTTTTTTAAAAAAAATTCTGCTGGTTATATAAATGTGTACAGTTTGAGTAAAAGAGTCAGGTTGCAGGGATATAAAGCATATACCTATATCAATACCATTCTGTGAGTGCCTGATACCCCATGTGCCTTATTCCCTCAAGACTGTCCCTTCCTTTCTTGAAATGCCAGAGGTAGGTAGGAATCATCCAACACACGCACCTGCTTTAACAATGTGGCGAGGAGGAATACTTGAGGAATTGAAGCTAAAGCCGAACTTGATCAAAGAAAATACATGACAAGTTTTATTTCCTCATAGGGCTGCTGGATACAGCTGCAGAAACATGTCATGCCCTTCTCCCATCACAGGCAAAAATGTGAAATGAGGAACTTTTTGATTAGTTCAAGAAACATCAGACTGCATTACGGAAATATTTCCCGCACCAGGGCTGACTTTTATATGAAATGGGGTGCGTATGGTGTTTTGATTTTTTATATGATTTCCAAATGTTGCGCCAAACAAAATTGAGAAACAAGTTTTTCTTGAATAAAGGCAGCAAATGAAACCAACATCCTCGGCTTTAATGTCAAAAGGAGAGACGAGTTCTTGCACTCTGCGGATAGGTCATCAGCATGACACGAAGGGAAAGATACTGGACTCAATCTGATACTCACTCCTGCAGGACTCTCTGCATGGCGCTTATAAAGATCAGTGAGAAGAAGGCTGGAGCCGGGCGCCACTGCAAGACGGTTTGGATTTGGCAAGACACGGATAAGAGTTAATGATCTCCAGCCACACAGCGGCTTGCCATTTCTTTTATGTTTCTGTGCCTTGTTAACATATCACTGTATCCGCTGTAGGATGAGTTCTAAGCCTTTCTGTCTTTCTTTGGGGATAAAACAAAATCTCTCATGACTGCCCCATCACTTTACAAATTCGTTATTTACACTCCAACTGACTTCAGGAATGAAAAGGTAACACTCACGTGTGTGTGCATGACAAGGCTTCCTTCAAAGGATGTTGCAGGCTCAGTCTAACAAAGATTTTATATACACAGCAACACATAACAAAGGGATTTACTGTCAAAACGTTTATTGCAAAATGGAGTCTTAGAACAAAAGAAAGCAAAGAAAAGTTCACATCAAAATGAAATGTATGACACCAACTTGGATTTCTGAATACATTGTGGACTCTGTGCTGGAATATCAAATTCCAATATGCAGTCAGTAACTGAGTAGTCTTACCACACAAGAGTAAAATTTAATCTTTCATACAAACATTATACATGATACTTGGCATAGGACTTGCTCAGAATAACATTGCAATAGAATGACTGAGAGAAGGTTTCTGCTTAAAAAAAAAATAAAGTGATAATGCCATCTACTTGAAGCTCACACCCAAGGAATACAAAAATTATTTAACACAAAATTTTAAAAGTGCAAAAGCAGTATGTGCAGTGTATTATCTGATATTAAAAACACACACTGTTCTGCATACAATATAAAAGAATTAATGGAGGTGCCTGAAGTCATAGTTCTTAAGTAAATAACCACATGCCAGAAAGCTCCTCAAAAGCAGCAGAGCGCATATGAAGTCAGTCTCAGAAAACATGGCCATTCCCTAGTTTCCCGACAAACACGCATTTTTCACCATAGAAATGCTACATCTAATGCTATTAGGCTCTGCTAGATTAAAACAGATCAGAGTCTGTCTGGCGATGCTTAAAATCTCAAGGAAAACAGTCTTGCTCAAATGCATCAAAAGGTGCCTGATTATAGAAAGCTTATGCTCTATCATATATGTGGTATGGTGAGACGACTAGTCTTACACAAGGCTGCAACAAGTTTAGTGTAACGAAATTTTTTAAAAAAGGGTATCAATATTTAAATAAGACCAAGTTTTAGAGCTGTGCTTTCGTAACACTCTTACCACTCGAATGGAAAATTAAAGTTATATACACAGTAGTACCTTACTAACAGAAGTCAGTTTGGATCTCTCTTGCATCCTCACCTAACCCCCTAATTTGTTTCATTTTGATGTGGATCAAGTTTAGGTACCTGAGCTGGTGTTAAGGTCTAATAAATCCACTGCATGTTTAAAAGACTCAAGGGCTAAAAGCCCAGACCTCAGTATTTCCGGAGCATCAAAAATTGTGTGCTCCGTGCCTACATCCGCCTCACCATGGTTCTTTATATAAAGTGTTAAAATGTGGCTTTACTTTAATGAGACTGCTATTAGCAAAGGAGGCTTTTACATTAACCTCACTGTGTTGCAGAACTATAGCTACTGCGGTGTGGTTTTTCTCTTTTCCTGAGTTGTGGAACTGTCGCCACTGGAGAGTGACACCACCCTCCCAAGGTAAATATGGCTCCTTCATGAAGTGGCCAGCAGCACTCTTACAGAATAAGCCATTTGTTCACAATTGGAGATAAAGGCATAAACTTATAAACCTCAGATTGTGTAGCTCTCATTCTGAAAATGTGTTTTGTTTTTGTTTTGGCTTGGGTGGCTTTGGGGAGAAAAGCAGCGGTGGAACTTTAAAACTTCCAGGAGCAACACGTTTCCCAGTGGAGAGGAGACAAGGTTAGTGGTATTTAGGATGGAACTCTTCACAAGGGGAGAATGTCCTTGGCATGCAAGTTGTTAGGTCTTGGCTGCGGGCACTAAATGCTGGCCTGCTCACCATGACAGCTGAAAATGTGCCCACCACCTCCAAATACCATTAGGTGACAACACTGGGCCAGCTGAGATGTCCTAATAGGGTGTCATCAAATTCTTCATGCTCAACTTTCTGAGCAAATAAAAAGATAAAGTGTAGTAGTTTCTACTGTATGACTCATAATTATTGCCATAATTTGGCATTTCAATCTTCACTTTTCTTTTTGGTATCAGGGATCAAATTCAGGACCTTGCACTTGCCACAAAGGCACTCAGGTCGCTGAGCTATATCCCCGGCCCCATAATCCTCACTTTGAATCTTTAAGTTTTTCACTCTTCTCTTTTGAAACTACATATAATACTGATAATTTGCCATCTGAAAAACTAACATGTAAAGTGAGTTAGAAAGTACACAATTATTATCATTAGAAATTCTGCAGATGGCTAATGGACATTTTTAAAATTAATAAAATTAATAGAATCTGAAGTCTTCTAAATAATCTTCACAGATAGGAATAGAATTCAAAATTATGTTTGTAGGGGCCAGGGAGATGGCTCAGTGGAATAAGCGCTTCCCTGGCAAGCACAAGAGCATGAGTTCAATCACCGGTTCTGAAAAAAAAAAAAAAATTCTGTTTGTGTGATTTAGATTTCAGGGATGTTTAATGTTTTTCAAACTAATGCAAGGACACTGATTTGGAACAGAAAGTAAAACAGCCAATGCCAAACACATAATTCTAGGTGGTGTGCAAGTGCAAGATCCGCACTGGGGCCAGCTTTTCCATACCCTAAATCCTGCGGTTTCTTCAGGGCAGAGTATTGAGCTACGAACCTTTTTGGGGATACTGATGAGGAAAATGGCAGCAAGCAGAAGATGAGGGAAAGCTTACCTCAGCAATGACACACCCA